TGGACTCTCTCCAGTAGCTCCTCACCTTTCTTGAACTGGGGAGCCCAGAACTGGACACAGTACTCCAGATGGGGCCTCACCAGGGCAGTGTAGAGGGGAAGGAGAACCTCCCTCGCCCTGCTGCCCACACTCCTCTTGATGCACCCCAGGATCCTATTGGCCTTCTTGGCACCCAGGGCACGCTGCTGGCTCATGGTCACCCTGTCGTCCCCCAGCACTCCCAGTCCCTCTCCACAGAGCTGCTCTCCAGCAGGTCCACCCCAGCCTGTACTGGTGCCTGGGGTTGTTCCTCCCCAGGTGCAGGACCCTGCATTTGCCTTTGCTCTCCAGTAGCTCTTCATCTTTCTTGAACTGGGGAGCCCAGAACTGGACACAGTACTCCAGATGAGGCCTCACCAGGGTAGTGTAGAGGGGAAGGAGAACCTCCCTGACCTGCTGCCCACACTCTTCTTGAGTGAGAGCACGCAGGCCGCCAGCTCTCACTGCGCCTTTCTTTCTGCAGGAGTTTGTAATCACCACTTTGAAGAGCCTGGGCTACGTCACGCTGATGTGCGGGGATGGGACCAACGACGTCGGAGCTCTGAAACACGCAGACGTGGGTGAGTGCGCGGGCAGGGCTCCGGTGTGCGCTGCTGTCTCGGTTCGGCTTGTGTTCCTAAACCCAACACCCAGCTTGGTTTCTCTGGCATTTGGAGGGCTGGGATCAATCTGACCAACGTCATCTGGTGGCCTCAATTAACGTAAAGAAGAAGGATCTCTGTGCTGGTGGAACACCCGCTGTGAGCACGCCTGCAGGCAGCGGGAGTTAGCTGCAAACACATTTTTCTGGAAGAAAGATTCTCCCTAAGTATATTTTTTTTCCCTAATCTTTCCTTCAGCAAGCGAGACATCTCCAGAGTCCCTGCGTAACTAGCTTGCCCACCCAACTCCAGGTGTAAATCACAGCTGGGATCCCTACTTGGTGAAAATGCTCTGCCAGGAAAGGGATTGCAGCCCTTTTTTCCTCCAGCTAATGCTCTGACGCTCCTACAGGAGTGGCACTGCTGGCAAACGCTCCCGAGAGACTGCCCGAGCGGAAGAAGAGAGCTCGAGATGGCCCCGGTGACGGGAGGCCGGCCCCGCCGTCGATGGGGAGCGGGACGGTGAAGCCCACCTCCCGTGGTGCCAAGCACAGAGTCATGTCCCAGAGAGAGGAGCAGCTGGCCATCCAGAGGGTCGGTAACCAGATGTTTAAAAGCCTGTTCACTTATCCTCGCTCTTTGTTCCTCCTCTGGTGTTCTGCCAGTTCGTGAGAACGGGAAATGCCGGGATGCGCTGGGAAAAGACCGGCTTTTTCGCTCCTTATCCTGAAATAGCTGAATGGATTTGGGCAGAGACGGTGCTGCTTTTCCAGCCAGCTGTCAAGCTGATGCTGCCAGCGTGAAGGCTTCTCCGCCTCAGCGTGGAGCCAGGGCTGTGGGAGGGGGCAGCGCAAGGTCAGCTTCGATCCGGGTTGCGACCGTGAGCCGTGCGTTTCCGTCTCATTCGCCTGCAGGAGCGGATCAGTCAGGTCCTGAAGGATCTGGAAGAGGAGCGCGTGCCGGTCGTGAAGCTGGGCGATGCCAGCATTGCAGCCCCCTTTACCTCCAAGCTCTCTTCCATTCAGTGCAGTAAGTGCGTGGCGGGAGCTGAACAGTTGGGAGTTACCCAGGGGAGTAAGTCTGGGTTTGAAAGAAGCCAAGGGGGAGGGCGTGGGGTGGTGAGAAACACCCCCAGACCCACGGCTTTGCCAGATGTTTTGTGGAGCAACCCTGGGGGGGTCCCCTGGGTGGGGATGCAAGCAGTGAGGGCTGAGCTTCCCTCTGTGCTGCTTCAGAAAAAGCGAGGACTGAGGGGCAAAGCCCCAGAACCTGTTCCATTTCCAAACACTGCTTCCTCTTGCTCCTTAGTCTGCCACGTGATCAAGCAAGGCCGTTGCACGCTAGTGACCACGCTCCAGATGTTCAAGATCCTCGCCCTGAACGCCCTGATCCTTGCTTACAGCCAGAGCGTCCTCTACTTGGAAGGGGTGAAGTTCAGCGATTTTCAGGCAACCCTGCAGGGTCTGCTGTTGGCTGGCTGCTTCCTTTTCATCTCCAGGTCGAAGGTGAGGCGAGGGAGACGCGTTGGGACGGTGAAAAGAGTGCCTCTCTGCAAAAAAAGCCGTTGATTTTGCGAAGTTAACGGTCCGTGGTGCTGGAGGGGGTGCAGTCTTTTATTCCCCTGGATTTGGGAGGCTCCCGAGGCCAGCACATCCTTCAGGGAGCGTCTTGTGATGGCGGGCAGGCAGCTTTGTTCAGGTTGCAGCAGCTGGAAGAGGTGGGAAGGGTGTTTCAGTGGGCCTCACGTCCGCAGGAACTGGAATTCTTGACAGCATTTCCTGAGAAACACGAATTAATTGGATTCTGCTGCAAAAACCGCCCGGAGGTGGGCAAAACCATCCCGCCCCCGTTTCCTCGTCCACTTCCTCAGCCTCGTCTACCTGTACCGCGGCGCCCAGGCGCGCAGCCGCTCCAGGTAAGCGTCCGTCCCTCCAGCGCCGGGACGTTTTCTCCGACCGCTGCGAAGCGGGAGGGTGGAGAGAGGCCTCCCTCCCCGCAGCGCTCTTTCTGCGAGTGCTTCACCGAGCGTTGGGAGTTCAAGGTGTTGGACACGTCTGGAAAAAGCGTTTTTGCCTCGTGCGTCGCGCTGGAAGCGGTGGGAACGCGCTCTGTGATACGCTGCTGTCCCCGCACCGGGAGGGGAAGGGACGAGAAACAGCGATGAGGTGGATTACTGGAAGGGTTAGAAAGATCAAACACACAAAAAAAGGCTGATTTTTTTTTCCACTTGATTTTTATTTTGTGAAAAAGAACCCTGTGATTGCTCGCAGCTCCGCTCTTGCCTCTTACCCACACTTGTCTGGGAGCAAACTGGTTTTTTCCCCAAAAAAACCTGAAATAACGCGGGGCTGGTGGGGTTATGCGAGGGAAGCTGAACGCTCCTGGTGATTCCGAGTCCGGTGCCCTGATCTCCAGCCTTGTTCTCTCCTAGGCAGGAGGAGTTCGTGGATCTCTACAAGGAGTTTGAGCCCAGCCTTGTGAACAGCACTGTCTACATCATGTCGATGGCGATGCAGATGGCCACCTTTGCCATCAACTACAAGGCAAGCCGGGTTTTAAGTCGCATTTCCAGCACCACTGGAGAGAGAGATTTTGTAATTAAGGTGCAAGAATACAGAGCGATGTTCTTCTCTAATCCCAGAATCCCAGCATGGCGGAGTTGGCAGGGCCCTCTGGGGGTCACCCAGCCCAACCCCCTGCCCAAGCAGGGTCACCCAGAGCAGGCTGCACAGCACCGCGGCCAGGGGGGCTGGAATATCTCCAGAGAAGGAGACTCCACAGCCTCCCTG